TAAACTAGGAACCCTGTAAACTAGGAACCCAATAAACTAGGAACCCTGCAAACTATAAACCCTGTAAACCAGGAACCCGATAAATTAAGAACTTTGTAAACTAGGAACCCTGTAAACTATTAACCCTATAACTAGGAACCTGTAAACTAGAAACTCTGTAAACTAGGAAATCCTGTAAACTAGAGAACCCTGCAAACTACGGAACCCCGTAAACTAGGGAACTCTGTAAACTAGGGAATTCTGTAAACTAGGGAACCCTGTAAACTAGGGAACCCTGTAAACTAGAGAATCCTGTAAACTAGAAACCTGTAAAATAGGGAACCCTGTAAACTAGGGAACCCTGTAAACTAGGGAACCCTGTAAACCAGGAACCCTGTAAACTAGGAGCCCTGTAAACTAGGGAACCCTGTAAACTAGGAACCCTACAAACCAGGAACCCTGTAAACTAGGGAACCCTTTAAACTAGGAACCCTACAAACCAGGAACCCTATAAACTAGGAACCCTACAAACCAGGAACCCAACTCGGAATTGGATTATCGGATTGAATATAGATCTCACGTCTTTATAAAGATTTATGTTCACCATATTGTGCTCTATCTCAAACCAGACATTTGGATAATGCGCGCTGTGTGTTCCTTCCACCCTACCTTTGTGTGCGTACACCTACATTTGTATGCTATTGTATGTAGAATATTGACCAGATTTCGTGTCTTTTTTGCCGAAAAGTGGAGTAAAAAAGGATCTAACAATAAAGGACTAGTTGTCCTATAGTGGTAGTAACTGGAACCAACAAAAATCGTATTTAACTGATTCAATCCAATTTTTATGAGTTTTTCAATTAGTGAATTTAATAAAAGTAGTCAATCGTGCACAACGCAAGAACAATTGGATTTCAAATTGGAAAATAAATTTTTTATTATTGTGTAAAAAGATTGTGGAATATAATCCGTCTCTGATATCTGAAACTATCCCAATTGTTCTGGTTTTGATTGATTTGCTTGAACACTGATCAGGGTTTGTACAGTGTACATACATGCGCAGAGAAATCTAGAAATACAGGAAGGGATACAGGGGATACAGGGGATACAGGGGATACAGGGGATACAGGGGATACAGGGGATACAGGGACAGGGGATACAGGGGATACAGGGGATACAGGGAATACAGGGGATACAGGGGATACAGGGGATACAGGGGATACGAGGGATACGGGGGATATAGGGGATACAGGGATACAGGGAGTATAGGAAAACAGGTAATAAAGGGAATACAAGGGATACAGAATACATGAGATACATGATAACATGGAGTACAAGGATACAGAGCATACAGGAAATAAAGGGAATACAAGGAAAACAGGATTTAAGGGAAAAAAAAATATAGGAAATACAGGAAATACAAAATATATTGGAAATACAGTAGATGTGTATTAGATATATTTACGAATAATGAAAATAAAATTAATTATGCAATAGATACACATAAACTGCAAATGTATTCATGCATTTATATACTAATTCAATATGCATATATTTACACACTACATAGCCTTATTTATACATTTATCTATCCTAAATATATATATATATATATATTTAGTACATTTGTAGGGACTCTGGAGCATTTGTTGCAGAAAAAACGTCGAATTTCATTCCAAAAATTATATTACAATAATAATAATCACAAAAATCTGTGATTTTTTTTGTCAATGTTCAATGTTGTACAGAAAGAAAAAAAGATTCAGAAAAAAACATGAACTTTTAAAGATATTTGGGGAAACCTCAACTCAACTGAAAATATTTGGGGGGAAAACAATTTCAGATACATTAAAAAAATTAGTTCAGAAATATTGAAAGACATTTTGGAAAATTCATTTTTATATGGTTATAAAGTGAACAATTTCAGATATATGGGGGAAAATAAATTTCAGATATGGGGGAAAATAAATTTTAGATAGATGGGGGAAAATAAATTGCAGATATATGGGGGAAAATAAATTGCAGATATACAGGGGAAAATAAATTGCAGATATATGGGGGAAAATAAATTGCAGATATATGGGGGAAAATAAATTTCAGATATATGGGGGAAATAAATTTTAGATATACGGGGGAAATAAATTTTAGATATATGGGGAAAATAAATTGCAGATAGATGGGAAGAAATATATGTTTAATTAAACTAACGTTAAGATATATTATATGATTATTTTACTTCAAATCTATCAAAACAATTTAGTTTCAGACGAAATTAGATTAAAGAGACAATTAAAAAACCAGTCTATTTTCAAACATTACACAGAAATAAATGCAAAAGAGACGACGCAAATATGTGCATAAAATTTATTAACGGTTAAAAAGATTTAGAAGAAAAAGGTTTAATATTAATATGAATTTAAATATTTTTAAATAAGTTTAAAAATACCATTTCATCTCTGAGAAAATTTTTCAAATTGTTTATGATTTGTTTAAAGCTAATTATAATCCTGCAGATTCTATATAAAGATGGTTTTCAAAGATTTCATTTCTATGTTCTTTTATCTAAATACCATGTCATCAAAACCATTTAAAAGAATAAACAAAATTAAATTTCTTATCTTTTTTCATCCTAGCAGTAACCTTTAGACCCTGCCAAAAAATGAAATTTTTCCCTCCCTCTCTCATCTGTATTCAACACCATTCTCCCTTCCCCATTAATATTAAAATACATAACAAATGATTGTTTTAAAGATTTCAGTTTGGTTTTGGAAGCATCCCCCCTCTCTCCCTCTCTCCTTCTCCTCTATATGGTGGTGCACACACCCTCCCTCTCCTCTATCTATCTATCCCTCTATCCCTAAAAGTCTAGACGTCTATATGCTTCTACCCCTCCTCTCTTCTACCCTCTTTCTATAGAACCTCACAACTCATATGTATACGCTGTTCCACTCAGCTTTTTAACATTACTTATTATATAAATATACCACGGTAAGCTATGTGTACATAATTTTATGTAAGTACACAAACATCTGCTATAAAGTCAGAAACTTAAAAATAACGAGCTAACAAAACCTTGGTTCGGGCAAGGAAAACTTTTAAAATTTTCTTTTTAATTCGAAACCTGGTTTTAGTATAAAAAGTTCCCTGCTCTGCATTTTTACGAGTTTCGACGGGAAATTTTAAAATGACGAGGAAATTATTTATTTAATTTATTTGTTTTGTTTTATAAACAAAAAGTTTGCTGTCTTCTAAAATAGTTATGTCGAGTTTAGCCTGCTTTTTATATTGAATTTGCTAGGCATCTGTATTAATTCTTTCCTCTACAAAGCTTATGCTTGAAAAATTCTCTGTATTATGTCTTTATTATTGTAAATTGTATTTTTGAGTATTTTGTATCATATAGACATATATATTATGTATGTATTTTGCATTGTGTATTATGTTCATTGTAAAAAGTATTTTAATTATGCATTTTGTGCTTAATATTATGAGTTTAGTATTTCATCTTCTAAAGTTTCAAGTATTTTAGAATGTTTTTCCAAGAACAGGTGAAATATATTGCCAGGCAATAAAACTAATTCTTTTCAAATCCAAATCTTAAAATCTTTTTAGTTTCAATTATATATTCTGAACCTTAAACAAATATTTTTCTCTGAGTCTTCGGCAAAGGGTGATGTAACATGCAGGGATTCGTAAAAAAAGACCTAGATTTTAGTTTTAAAAAACTATAAAAAAATAAAGTTAAGAAAAAGAGCAAAATATCTTTTATTTGTTTTTATGGATCCTCTCCCACAGACTAAAAATGTGTAAGAAAACCTTACTCTTTAATAATCGGAACTAATAGTGAAAATGAAAAAAGGGGCATTTTTATATACTCGAGATTGAGAATCGTAAATCTAAATGTCGTTTCTTACACCCTAACCTAAACTTTTGGTGCGTAATCTGCTGTAAACTAACCGAAGGCACGGTGGGGTTTAGTGGAGATTGAACATGTTGATTAAAATATATGGAGGATTTTGAGATATATCTCTGCTGTAACGTCGGTTGTCCGTCGTAATGAACAAAATTTTTAATTTTATACTTGAGACATGAAAATGTTCGCGTTTTATTGCAATTACGGAAAATCGTTGCGAATCGTAAACTGCACATTGTTCCGTGTGCTCGTAGGGCGTCTCTTAAAGTCGGATTTGATTTGTAAAACCACTAAATATCTTTATCCTGACACATTCATAAAACAATATTAAAGAGACTTGTAATTTTTAGTGCCCTTTATTTTTAAAAATGTGTCATGTTCGATTCCTAAAGGTGCCCTTGAAACCTTCATGTAGTCAATAATATGGAAGATCCTTTTTCTTGTTTGAAAAGTGTATAATTGCGATAACTTCTCCAGTGTGTCTATAGCAAGAAATCCGCAGGTCACAGATGCAATCTGAAGTTTTCAAAAACATCAGACAAAGCTTTTAAGGGACCGTTGCGAATCGAACATAACATTCTATCAATTGAGGGCAACTTGAAATTGAGTTAAAGAGTCCCTTTAAGACCAACAAGTTCTATACTGCTTGCTTTATCACCATGAACTAAGCTTGGTCATTAAATAAATAGGACAAATTTACAAAAGTAATTAGATTGTAGTTTATCTTCACAAAAGGAAAATATAAAATTAAGAAGCTAAATTTTGTCTAAAATTCATTTCTTCAGACAGTTGATTAACATTTGACAAACAAATTATCTTGAAATGACCGAAATGATTTTTAAAATTCAATCTTATTTCAGTTTTTACGATTGCAGCGTTCAGAAAACGATTAAAATACTTTCAGTTTCCCTACAGTTTCTCTCTTTCTCTTTTTGGCAAATACGAGAAAAAAAAACACAGTAATGTAAAATATCTTTCAAAATCATTTTCCATTATGAAGTTTTTGAGGATCAAAAATCGATGAAAAAGTTTGATAAATACATTTTTCATGGAGTAACAATTAAAAAAATGCACCCTTAAAGAAATAATATCATGAATAATCTAATCATTATCAGTGGTAAATCTTTTATTTAAAGGCAAAAAGATATTTTTACACAACATATAATATTTTATAGCGATTTCTTCGTTGACAGAGGTGAAATTCGGCAGCGTAACAGTTAAAAGTCAGTAGATAAAAAAGTATAATCTTAAAATAAACTGGAAGAACTGTTTATAAAATAAAAAAAATAACTATTTGGATAACATGACGCCGAATATAAATGAAATGCAGGTACTAGTAACTCCAGAAGAGCTCGTTTACAATCCAGTAAACATTGTCCATCATGTGAACTCTAAACTCAAGGTTTGGAGTTCTTAAAATCACAATATCCATCCCAAGGGAGGAGTTGAGGTGTAGAACACCTTCTCTCCGTCCCTGAAAAACCCGCAGACGGCCTCAACCTTGTTTTAGAGATGAATTCAACCCGGCCGGAGTTGTTCCATCTATAGACCACGTTACAACAAATACAAACGGTCGGGACGGTTTTCAGGACTGCCTCAGCTGACATTAGGAATATCCACACTTGAGTTCAAGATATCCATATTCTAGCCAGGATATCAGATATCCCGAAACCCAGCTCCAGTAGTGAGGTTGGACAGCTGGTTAGTCCCATTATAAAATTGCACGTAGAAAATTTAGCGAATGGATAATATTTTGGGACAACTGTATACTTTCGACTAGCAGCCTCATATATGGGACAAATAATCGATAAGATATCTTATTCGTACCACATCTCCCGCAATATCTTGGGAAATTTCTTGTCTGAAACCATGAGAGAGTAGGAAAACTCATTGTTCTTCGAAGCCAGGGTCTTCACTGTGCATAAAATGTTCAATAGTTTTGCAAACATCATGCTTTCCCGCCCTCGCTTGTTATTCACATACGCCTCAAAGGCTTCGATATAAATTTCTTGTATTCGTTCCACTTTACTCGGCTCATGCAAGCTGAATCGTTCACTAAAAATAATGAGAGCTGTGAGCAAAGCGTACTCAGCGTTATCTACCTCCATGTCGTACATGTATCGACAGAACATAAACATTTCGTCCATATCGTGACCAATAACTCGAAACCGCTTTCTGTCATAGGGTTCATTGTTCGCAAAGACGATCGTATCTGAATGTGGATCGTATCGTCTTGCTGTTCTGATCATGATAATCTCACTTGACGAGGCTTTCAGTAGAATAACCTGATCCTCCATCTTTAAACTTGAAAACCCGGGAAGCTTTTTACAAAAATCGACTATTAGTTCAATCACACGTATCGTCGACTCACACATGTGTCGAATTGACTGGTTGTGAACTTCTGTTTCTTGTAAAACAGCGTTGTCGATCTTTTTTACTTCCTCTTCTGAAGGAACCTCGTACTGAGCTTGAAGGGCGACTATCATGTCGATTAGCTGTCCCTCTTCGGCTTTTAAAGGACGACCAACGGTGACTACAAGTTTTTTAGGTGTCCCCGTAGGATTGGGAACACTGGGAGTGGAAACATTCTTCATTGGTTTGGTTGAGGGCTTTTTATTAGATCGTTTTATTATACATTGAGACTCAGGAACTACACACTCTTCTCTCATACCAACCGTCATGCACTTCCGGAACCGGCACTCTTGGCACTTCCGTCTCATGTACATGTCAATCTCACAGTTCCCGCCATATTTGCAAGTGTTGGTGTATCGCGCATTTTTGGTAATCGATCTCCGAAAAAATCCTTTGCATCCTTCACACGCGAGCGCGTTGTAATGATAACCGGAGGCGCGATCCCCGCAAACCAAGCATAGCTCTTCTTGCACTCTAGAAACTGGTCCTTTCTTGATCTTCCGCTCCCCCTCTCCTGAGAATGAGTTGGATAACCCTGAGGTAGTGTTCTGAGGTGGAGAGTTGTAGTACTGCACCCCGGCGGGATTCAGGGGCTCGTAGGACATCCCGCTGGTGAAGCTGGATTGGCTGGCAGTGGAGTTGGTTGGACTGAAGAGCTGGGGTTCAGTCTTAATCTCAGTGAGCTGTGTTCCACCAGGAGATATATATCCCTGACTGGTTTGTTGAACCTGGATAAATATATGGGACTGGGAGGAGGTCCCCAGGTTAGAGGGTGGGGAGGGATAGGAAGGATGCAGCAGCACCATTGGTGACTCTGGAGCCATCGGGGAGCCAGCCGGAGACTGTGGAGACGGGGAGGGAGCACTCCCAAAGGCAAGTATTCTGACAGGTTGGGATGGGAGCTGGGTTGTTCTACCCTGGCTGGGGTTGAACATTGTGATGTGTGTAGACATCTCAGGACTCGGCGCAAACGAGTTCACCGACGCAGTCAGCAGGTCAGTAGCCAGCTATTAGCCAGAATCCTGAAATAAAAAAAATATTGGAAAACAGTAAAACAATTTCGCTGAACGACGGGTTGTCTTTTAATAATAATAATAATACTAATAATAATAGTAACATGTCAATGATGTAGTAAGAAAGGAATTGAGATTTTGCCACAAACTCAAATTTATAATCCCTATATCTTTGCAACCTGATAGTAAAAGGTCTACGACATAGAGTTGCAAAGATTTAGGGGATTAGAAACCAGATTTTGTAAACAAAAGACTCAGGTGTACATTGTAAACCATATTTTCTTATTTTAACAGAAGCAAGATTTTTGTTTGATTTTTTTCCTGCCTTCAAGTGATATATAAATATTTATGTACTAATCCAATAATAAATATAAAATAATATTTGGACCAAAATCCTACAACTTTATATTTACTTTATATTTAATGAATGATATTTTCTTGTGTACTTTTTTTTAAACAAATATAAGAGACCTACAATATTTATAGTTTTTACCAAGAAAAACAATTATAATACAAAATTCATGGATTGTAATATTTTGCAATTCAAGATGTTTTCAATTTATAGATTTTTGATAAAATTCTAAATTCTGCCATTTTGAAACTTACGACTAAAAGTTCTGTACATAAATTATTAAGGTTGATATAAGATTTATATGCATTCACAAGTCTAAAATGAAGATATGAATAAATAAAAAAATTCTATCAAATCAAAAAGAAAAATTGTCAGTTGAGATCACAACAAATAAATCTACTTTATTATTGTCTAAGGATGAAAAAAAAATATGGCTGCACAGTGCACATTGTACATTCTATACACATGTACACATTAAAATATTTACATTCTATACACATGTACATTGTACATATTAAAATATGTAGGCAGAATATTTAAAAATTTTGTGCAAAAATAAAATTTTTTTTTTTTTACTTTGCAACATTCATTCCATTTAACTAAGCCTAACATTATCTTTTTTTGCCGATATTTTGTTTTTAAAGTCTTAAACAATCGACATGTGGTTTCAGCCCAGCTGTTATATAGTTATATACAGCCACAAGATGTAATACAATTTTACAAGATTTTACAACTTAAAAAAGTACAAAGTAGCTGATGGCTAAAAAAAGTACAAAGAAGCTGATAGCTAGAAAAAGTACAAAGTAGCTGTTGGCTAAAAAAAGTACAAAGAAGCTGATAGCTAAAAAAAAGTACAAAATAGCTGATAGCTAGAAAAAGTCAAAGAAGCTTACATATAGAAAAGTACAAAATAGGCTGACAGCTTTAAATAGTACAATGAAGCTGATAGCTATAAATAGTAAAAAAAGGAGCTGATAGCTAGAAAAAGTACAAAGAAGCTGAAAACTAGAAAAAGTACAAATAGCTGACAGCTAAAATTAGTTCAATGTATCTGGCAGATTTTTAAGAAGCTTGACAAAGAACCTTGCTATTTAACAGCAATAATAACAATTGCCGACAGTCTTAAAACAAATCGAAAGTCAAATAAACCCATTTGTATAAAATTAACAGCCAAACAAACGTGTACAGACATGCATCTGTACGGCAACAGATACAGATACAGACAGACGTGTATCTATATATCAACAGATACAGATACAGACAGACAGACGTTTATCTATATAGAAACAGATGCAGATACAGACAGACGAACGTGTATCTATATAGTAAGATTCCAGATACAGACAGACAGGCGTGTATCTATATAGTAACAGATCCAGATACAGTCAGACAGACGTGAATCTATATAGCAACAGCTGCAGATACTGACATGTATTTCTGTAAGAAACAGATGCAGATACAGAGACAGACGTGCATCTATATAGCAAAAGCTGCAGATACACACAGACAGACGTATCTATGTAAGAAACAGATGCAGATACAGACAGACAGACGTGTATCTACATAGCAACAGATGCAGATACAGACAGACAGACGTGTATCTATGTAAGAAACAGATGCAGATTCAGACACCCTGACGTGTATCTATGTAAGAAACAGATGCAGATACAGACATACAGACACCCTGACGTGTAACTATGTAAGAAACAGATGCAGATATAGACAGACAGAAGTGTATCTATAAAGCAACAGATGCAGATACAGACACCCTGACGTGTATCTAGCTAAGAAACAGATGCAGATACAGAGACAGACGTGCATCAATATAGAAACAGTTGCAGATACAGACAGACATACGTGTATCTGTGTAAGAAACAGATGCAGATACAGACACCCTGACGTGTATCTATATAGCAACAGATGCAGAATGCACTTACTCAAAATAAACATAAAAATATTGTATGAAGAGATAAAACGAAGAGATGGGTGAATAAAGCAATATCTTGCATAGTGAACTGCTACTTATTTGTGATTTTTGAATATATATTTCTATTTATGGAAAATATATTTTTTTTATTTGAATTATATTTTTTATTAAAAACCTATTCGAAAATGTGCAAAAGCTAGTTGTATTCTAGGAGTAGGAAGCATCAATACAAGTGTAATTAGATCAAGAAAGAAAACAAAAAAAATTGGAAAAATAAAGAATTTATAATAAGAATAAGAAAGAACTCTAATAAAATAGAGAAAATATTTCAGACTTAATTGTTAAAAAATGAAATATTTGTATATTTCTTTTAAAAATCCTATATTGGTTGCCAGTTAACCCTGCCAAACTAAATATTAACCTAACCTTGGTTTAAAAAGACCAAAACTAAAATAATAATACTTGCCAAGAGAAGAAGTTAAAGGATAATTTTAAGTTACCCCCCATGGCAAAGATGACAACGGTATTCTAAAAAGCTTTGTCCGATCAAGAATGAATTAGATATTAATGTTTATAATTTTGAAAACTTTATTTTCAATTGTGGGATCCTTTTCCTTTAGTTCTAAATTGCTTTTGTTTTATTTTGTTTTATTTAAATTGAACATGTATGTATCGCTGCAGAAGGGCCTCTCATTCAAAACAACCAACAATGGTTAGAGAGACCCTGGCTAAATTAAAATGTAAAAATTGTGCAATTGAAGTTGTTTTTAATTAAATATTTAGTCAAATATATATCTATTATCTATCTATCTACAAAAGTGACTTTCGCAATTCTCGCATTTTTTAAAACCCCGCGAAACCCAACCCCACAAGTGCCCTATTTTAAGATGAATTTTATAGGAATTATCAGGATACAACTCTATTAAACTTAGAAAAACGACAATATCTTCCATATTATTGATTAAATAAAGGATTCAATGGTACCACTGTGAATTGGGTATTGCCATCTTTGCATTGAGGGTCACTTGGAATTAAAGTTAAGCTTTTTTGTGGAAACCCCTTTACCGAACTTTTAACCAAGTTGGCCTTGCACCTCTGACCCTTCAGTAAAAGTAAATTCAACCTAAAGTCTGACCGCGTCAACCTTGTTACACCGGCTAGTCCTATTAAGTGTCTGCTTCATTTACCCAATGTCCGGGCGATACAGTACAAACAGGGACCGGAAAAGTTGACCCAGCTCGGAAATTCAAATGTACTACGGCTGCCCGTGTGGCAAGGTGGGAAGATAGTATATAATTTTAGCGCAAAAACATTTAAGATTCTAATAGAGCAAAGTCTAAAAATGAGAATTTTCATGATTCATAATGATTTACATGAAATTTATATGTCGCAGTTATATGTTCCAAGAAATCATTATATTTATATTAGCGCGGTCACAGAACCTCCCCCCCCCCCTGAAAGGGGGGGGGGGGGGGGGGGTGGTAGTGCCATGATAGACACCCCCTTAAAATCTTAACCGGCCCCCAGTCTGCGTCCCCTTCTGGAAAATCTTCCGGGAATTCCAATCTTTGGTTTAATTATTAGAAATACGGGAAACCTTGACCAAACAAAATGGCGAAATTATTGATTGCATTTCATAAATCGAAGACATGTTACGAATAAAAATGAAATAAAAAATAAAATATTATTGTACCTTAGTAAAAACACAGTGCATCTCTTTTTCCGTTCTGACGAACCTGAAAAAATACAAAATATTAAAAATTAAATTTTGCCAAGAGGCCCGCCTGCATAAACCCTGTATTCTGCACACCACGATGCAGTCCTAAACACATAGTTTCCGCAAAACATTTAGCAGACAGATTTCGCAAAATTCAACCGCCGTCTCGTCTAACAAAACCAGTTCCAAAACAGTGCAAAGTTTACGCTAAAAGTTAGCAATAATAATAATAGACTCAGGGAAATATTTCAGTTCGCTATACTTGGAAGGCCCTGTGTATAATACTGTATTTAATATATATTTGAAAACATAAAACGTTTATAGACTGTAAACCTTGCAAGCCAGCCATTTCCTTATTCAAACAAAAATAATTAGTTTATGCAGCATTGGAAAATAATTAAGGGTCAATAATTAGTTCTTAAATAATTTCATTTAATTAATTCCCATTTACTTCCCATATATAAATTCCCATTTAATCCTTTTATATGAATTCCCAACTACTCCTATCATATGCATTCCCTTTCTTTAACACATATGAATTCCCATCCCTACTCCTATTATAAAAATTCCCACTTACTCCGAAAGTATTAATTTTCGCCAAATGCAATTTTTTGGTTTACGGCAGAAAATCAGAGTTTGTGGAAAGGTTTCAATATCTTTGTGCTTTTTTATGCACTCGAACATATTTTTTTGTAATCTGTATTAGTTAAAGTGATTAAGAATTATGTTGTTTTATAAACAAGAATGGGGTAATTAAGTTCTAAGTTTAAGTTTGCTTAAACGTCTCTCATTAATAAATGTAGAACTGAACAAGGCTATGTTGCCTAACATTATTAATAACCCAACGACATCCAGTTCTCTAATTACCCCCTAATTACCCCTATTGTGCTTGATCATCATCATTTCCTATCACGGACCCACGAGAACTGATTGAAACATGCTTCAGAAACGAAAATTTATTTCTTAACAAAAAAATATACTTAAAAATGCACTTAAAAAAAAACGTTGTCCACCAAGATTTTGAGTTAAAAGTAATATGATTGAAAAAATAGAATGAAAAACGGTGTCTCTCACCTAAATTCTTTATCTGTGTTAAAAAAGAAATAACTTTTATACATTTGGTGCTAACTGCGTAATTAATAACCAATTGGTTTGCAGGTTCAATGATCACTGATAATAAAATGGAATATTAAATACAAATTGACGCGCGAACCGTTCAAGAAATTGCGTCATTGAAATATATTTACAATTCGGTGAACGAAGAATATCCAGGAGCACAGGAGTTCAGAGCCCCCTACCCACCCCCTCTTCAATCTCCAGGTGAAGGGGGGGGGGGGGTAAACCTGACCCCTACCAATGAGAGGGAAAGTACCCCCCCCTTCAAACCTTTTCTAGCAGGAGTACCCAACCTTCTCTAACGGATACAAGATATAAATAGATTCAACGTATCTTCTGCGCACTGTTTACAGTTTAGAACAGATTTGAAAACTATTATAGTCCACTACTATACATATATTATAAGATGATCAATGGAAATGTAAAATTTAAGAATTTTGGTGTTTCCGTAAGACGGGATAGGGGGGGGAGGAGGAGGCCTTTGCCCCCTCTCTTACAAGTTGCACAAACTTATCTATATATCTAAGTAAAATCCTGAAATATATTAAAATGTTTTAATTTGACGCTGATTCTTTATAAAAATATATCTATATACACAAAAGCTCTAAAATCTAAGGAATGTATTCTTTATATGGTAGATTTTGCCATTATTAACTTTGTCCGCAGAATAATCCCTGTTATAAAAAATTCTTGGTTATTTCAAAGATTGAACAGTTTTCCTTTCCTGGGATGACAGTTAAAATCATTTGAACTCTTTGCTAAAAGTTCAACTAAAAAAAAAGATTTTCATCGTTAAAACAAATGACGAAGAAATTATAAAACTTTGCAAATTTTTTTTTTTATACAATATTCATATTGAATGCATTTTAAAAAAACCGTCCGTCTTCTTAACTTCGTTTTCATTATTAAATTTATTTACTCTTACTAAGGCGTTGTAAAAAAAACCGACTAGCAAAATCTGTAAAAAGAGAGAACCCAAAAATATTGGTAGGGAGGGAGAGAGCTGGGGGTGGTTTTGGGTGCTACAAGGGGGATGGACTTCCAGTAAATAAAGGCCGATTGTATGTCATCCAGGCATGAGGCAACCTGTCAATCTAATCTTTTCATTCACCTAATCCGAGAGTTTTTTCAATCAGAAAATACGCAAAATATGTTTGAATATTTATCTAGGAATTACCTGTATACCATAGAGGTATAGTGTTCAATAACAATAACAAATCAGGGCCTGGGACATATAATACTAGCATGGGAACCCAGCGCTGCCCAGGTTACTAAAAGTTACTCCCGCCTTTTACCCGCACTTGAACGTTTTTACCGGGAAACTAAATTTTCGCGATTAAAGTTGATCCACTAAACTTAGAATCGCAAAACCAATCTAATAACATTTCCGTGGGTCTCCCGTGTTCCCCGATCAAAATTTGAGGCAAATCGGTCCAGGGGTTACTGAGTTATGATGAAACAGACAGAAAGACAGATTATAACTTTATATATTTAGATATGCTGTTGCTTACTAAGGGTGAGGGGCAATTATATAAACTAAAATGATGTAGAGTGTACAGGTGGAATATTATAATATATATATCTTAATGAGGGCGGCTTAGTTTCATCATTTTTCATTATCAAAGAGAAACCTTTGTTTCATCACTTGTGTTCCAAGTTCATTGTGTACTTTATAATGCAACAATCGATAAAAAATATAATCTTATTTTCTATTTCTATCAACCTATGCAGAAAATGATCTTGTACTTCTGTCCTATGAAATAAATAATGCAACAATCTGTTTGGATTCCGCCAAATACTCTAAAGATTGAAACACACGCTTTGCAGTTTTGAAATCTGCATATCCTGAGACAAAAGACGTCAAACTAAAGTAAAATGCACGTAAGATTGAAATCTTAGGTTTTATATCATAACTAATTTTAATAAAGAGTAATTAAGAAAAGAATGTTTTGAATTCATAATGTGTAACCGAATAAATTTGACCTACTCCACTTCGTTAGTTTTCGAAATGTACATTGTACGTTAGTATTACACACAAGTAAGAAATAAAGAAATTTATAATTTTGTCATTGCTAAGCATGAAAAGGGACAAATAAAGCCATATTAATCTACTTTATTGTACCCGGGGAAATATTCATATTTTAGCACATTGAACAGTACAGTTCAGTATACATAAAATAAATAAAAGTGCATTTATATGCCATGTAATTGTATTTTTTAAGACGGCCATTAAATTATGAATTAAAGGACTATTGAGAAATTTATCAAAGTTAACTGAACCATTTTTGCAAATATTTACTGTTCACTGTACGAGGTACACCGTGCATCGTACACTATACGTTTTACACCTTACATCGTACACTGAACGTTTTACACCGTACATCGTACACCGTACGTTTTACACCGTACATCGTACTCAGTACGTTTTTCACCGTACATCGTACACAGTACGCTTTACACCGTACACCGTACACTGTACGCTTTCCACCGTACATCGTACACTGTACGTTTTACATTGTACACTGTACGTTTTACATCGAAAAACGTACCTCATTGTAAACTGTTCTTGTTACATCGTACATCGTACAGTGTAAACATAATTAGTAAGAATAAGACGAAAGTTTAATGTACAGGGTACAGGAAGGCTGTCTTGCACAACTGCTCCTTCTAATTATGGCCATGAAAAGGTGCGGGCCGGGAAGAGGAGAGTTACAGCAGGAAGGGAGAGGGGTAGGGGGGCACCAAGAATTAAAAATAAAGAATTTATAAAAAAAAAAATTAAAAAAATTAAAAAGGAAAATGCGATGAAAGGAAAAGAATTAATTACAGAGGGAAGCACTAGTTTAGTTTAGTTTAGGGAAAGTAACGAAGTAAGGGAAATTGGGTAAAATTGCTTTCCCAAAAAATTTTCGGTTGATTTAATTTTACAGGTACTTAACCTTAAGATTTTTATTTCCGAGTAAACCCTATAATGTTGATCATTGAAAATAGCATACCTAAAAAATAAAAAAAAATAAAAATATGTAGAACATTTTGTCGTAAGATCGGAATCAGCCTACAGGAGAGGAGGATGTCGGTTTAAAATATTTAAGAATAATTAAAATTGTAATCCCCTCCTCAGAAACCCGAAATTACAGAAAATTATGCAAACTCAGAAATAACATAAAAATTGATTGTTATTACATTTTAACAGGACAGCGCTCAGTTATTCCTAGTCGCAAGGTCTTTCAATCAAAGGGTCTGGTATCTACCAGTATATCTTTCAAGTGTCTATTGTCCATGTGTTTTCTGGTATCTACTACCAGTATATCTTTCAAGTGTCTATTGTCCATGTGTTTTCTGGTATCTACTACCAGTATATCTTTCAAGTGTCTATTGTCCATGTGTTTTCTGGTATCTACCAGTATATCTTTCAAACGTCTATTGTCCATGTGTTTTCTGGTATCTACCAGTATATCTTTCAAGTGTCTGTTGTCCATGTGTTTTCATGTGAACTTTTTCTTCAAATCTGGTGTCCATTTTTAAAGCTGTATTTTTTATGTGTCTACTGTCAATGTATTTCATTTGACTGTACGTCTGACTGTCTTTCCTTAATTTTTCATATTAAATCTTCTGTCTTTTTCAATGTACAAATTCAAAATATATTTTAGAAAAGGGTTACTAAAACTAGAACGTTATCTCTTCCCTTCTTTCTATAAATTATTGCTCCCCCCCCCCCATCCCATGCTAAATTCAGACCCCCTCCCCTCCCCATTCCTTTAGCAGAGCGCCCACATTCCATCTTTTCACAGTTTCAAGCATAAATCCAATCAAAAATCCCATTTCAGGGTCGTTTTTTACTTTTTAAAATACTGAGGGCAAGGGAGGGGTTGGGGAAGAAGTTATCAATTTTTAACTTTTTAT